ATACATTCACAGCAGCACAAGTTACAATAGCTAAGATTTGGAAACAACCTAAGTGCCCATCAGCAGATGAGTGGATTAAAAAACGGTGGTACATCTACACAATGCAATACCACAACGCTATAAAAAAAAAATAACGAACTCTTACCATTTTCAACAGCATGGATGGATGTGGAAAGCATTATGCTAAGCGAAATAAGCTAGTCAGAGAAAGAAATATCACATGATCTCTCTCATTTCTGGAATATAATGAATAACATGAACTGATGAACAAAAATAGATTCAGAGATAGAAAAGCATCCAATAGACTGTCAAACTTCAGAGGGGAGGCAAGGTAGGGTGGGGGGAGTAAGAGATCAACCACAGGACTTGTACGCATTCATGTAAGCATAACCAATGGACACAGACAGTAGGTGGGTAAGGTCATGTACTAGGGGGTGGATAAGGCTGGGGAGAGGTCAATGGGGGAAAACGGAGACATATGTAATACTTTAAACAAAGAATTTCAATAAAAAATAAAAGAAATAAAAGATTATATATATTGCTAAGGCAGGCAGCTTACAGATAACCAACCACAAGACAATGAGGCATGTAACTAATCCCAAGGATGTTACCATGGCAGAATTCTTTGAAAGAACCAATCAGGAGTGAGCAAAGCACTTATCTACCCCTAGACCAAGAAGCACATTCTCTTCTCTCTCTGGCACATTTCTCTTCTCTCTCTGGCACATTGGGTTCCTGGTTCTCCTATGGCAGGAGATATACTCCCCTGCACCCATGTGGCTAATGGCCATGTGGGAGTCCACACATGAACTAATGGGCTTTAATTAGCTTGGATGCTTAACATGGAACAGAAGCTCTGGACACTGGTCTGCTTTTAGAACCCCAGCTGCACCTTTTATAGGACTGGCTTCTCTCAATAAACTTTACTTCTGTCTGCAAGTGCATTCATTGATTTTGTGAGACAGCGACTTCAGACCTGACCACCGCATTTTGGTCTCAATTATACTGTACGCCATTTAGTAAAATACATTCAGAAGTAACTAGTTAGATGAAAAATGTTGTTGATAGATCATCTTTTTCACAGATGCAATGCTATTACATAACAATATCTAATTTAATATGACTTTTGAGTATTCCAGTCATACCTACTGTCACACTGGTCGTTCAAATTTTTGGACTTTAAATTTTAAATTATGTACTTTTCCTTAAAACTCCATTCTGAAGACTATCATCACCTCTCAATCAAGGATTTAGATGTACATTGTATCACTTTGTATATCACATCCTCTCCATTTTTCTTGAGAGGGAATCAGAGTTAAAAGACTTGAAAATCATTTGGAAATGTAGCCAACTTCACCAATTAAGACTTGAGGAATTTAAAACTTGTAACAATTTGTATAATTCATGAATTTAAATATACCTTTTCAAAATTAATCATTTCTTCTCATTGTGCATATATTAATTTTGTAATTCTTCCCATAAAACATAAATAATTGCTGTAAAGTATTGTAGAATGTTATAATTGTTGAACACATGACTTTCATGAATTTCAGAAGCACACATGAAATTATCATTTCATAATAAACATGTGATTTTCTTTTCATTCCATTTGGTTTGTTTTTCTAATACTGTAGATATGTATTTATCTACAATTCTCAAATTCTACCCTTTGGTACAAATAAAATACATTTTAAATTAATAGGGTAGAATAAAATTTATGGATCTTAGTTTGATACCCAAGGGTCAGATTTAGGACCTATACTTTATTAACAACATTAATTTAATCAGTTATGTTATAACAAATAGCATATGAATGTTTAGACATTGGTCTCTTCAGTCTCTTTTTAAAGTCTGCTTAAGGCCTTTACTAAGAAAACAGATTTGATTGTATTTGTTAGAAACATTTTGAGCTGTCCTGACTGAAATAAATAAAAGTGCATTCTTCAAAATACCTTATTTTAATTTCAAACTGTTTTCCCCCTGGATTAATGTTTTAATGAGATTTTACTAAAAGTCACACAATTAGCATAAAACAAATTGCTTCATATTATCCTGTTAAAAAACAAAATTCAATGGAGTAAATTTGAAGATCTAATTTGCTTTATTAAGAAATTCATTAATCAGGTAGCATCCCATGTAGTAAGTAGAAGGTGAAACCGAGGCTCGTGATTTAATACATAATTGTTATTTACTATGCAGCCCCAGCACTCTATTCAGTTTCTTTACACCTTGCCTTATAAGCTATGACCCTTTCTCTTACTAGTAATTAACTCCTGAGGCAGCCAGAAAAAATAGCCGTGCCTTGACTAAGAGTCACAAGGTATGGGTTTTTGTTAAGCTAAAGATAACATCATAGCCTAAGTTGGGTTACAGCTCCTGAACTCTAAAGAATAGCCCTGGCAAAGTCCTGATGAAATCAGACTGAGGGAAGCCACACTGAACTCTACTTGAAATGATTTACTGCCCTTACCTCACTCTTGACCAATCAGCAAGATCCACAACTCCAAACTCCTTACTCATGATGACTCATGATTTTGCTCTCTAAAACCCCTAGTCTGAAAACCAAGCTTTTGAACATTAGCTTCCCTTTCTCCTGGGTGGTTCCATTCATAATAAATAGCCAATCTTTCTCTACTGCAATTCTAGGTGTTTATCGTTGGGACAGGTGGACAATTACTTTCTAGTCAGTAACAAAGGGCTCTCCAAGGGGTTGTACAAAATGGAAGGTTTTAATAAGATGAAGGGTCAATCAAAGGCACTATTAACAAAAGAAAATAATCATTTTTGGTCTGAGACATCTTTTCTCTCTTTTCTCTCCGGGAAGGGAAGGGGAGAGGTTTTTATCATGCAGATTGTCTCTTGTTTCTATGGAGGATGGAGAGGGCACATCATGACAGATTAGTTTACTGGTGCTTGACCAGAAAATTCCAGACTGGTTGATTAATACTGTTTCTTGGACTGTAATTAGATCAGGTATTAAATCTAGGTTTAGTATCATGGGATTTTAGCATGAATGGGGCCATTTTTATCATCATAATTAGCTAGTTTATTAATAATAGTAATCAGAAGAGAGCAAAGGGGAGGCCAGACATTATAAGCATGGTCACCTGGGAAGCTTCACCAGGAACTTACAGCTTCACACACTATTGTTCCTCAAAGGGGATTAACACCACTCCTTTTCCCCAGTTGGTAGTGGATTGTTGGAAGGAGAAGGGGGAGATAGGCAAATGTGAAGTGAAGTTGGCGTGATGCAGGAAAAATGTTTGCCCGTCAGTCTAGTCTAGGGAATAATGGTTTGGCTATGCAGTGGACCCGGTCAGAAACAAGTGAAATCTTGGAAAGTTAAAATCCCTAAACAAAGAGTTTTCTCTCTCTTGTTTTACACTTATTGCTCTCTTGCTCTGCATGGCCCATGGCCGTGCAAACCCCACACACAATGGACTGCACTGTGAATATAAGATAAGGTAGCCAGATGCTAGACTGGACTGGACTTCAATATGGAACAGAAATTCTGGGCAGTGACCTTAATTCTGGCTCTGCTGAAGACAAGATTGGACTTCTTCCATGGTGAGATGGAGGGAGATGGGACATTGGAGGGGAACCGCTTAATTACATCATCAATAAAGCTTTCCACAAAGCCCCATCCTACTGTGGAGGCCTGCAGAAATTCTTTATCTCATGGCTCCCCAAGAACTCCACTTCCACTGATAACAGTTTGGGCCTGTGTTTTTCTCTTTAACAAGACTAAACCTTAAATTTAAGTAATCTTATAAAACATGAGTTCTCAACTATTTTCAATATACAAACTCAGAAGTAAACTTAAACATGAATGGAATAGATAATCATTTAGAATATATTTTGAGTAATGTTTATACAAATTAACTCCATTATTGTCATCAAACCATACTAAAAAAATAATATGTATATACTGTTATATTGTCACTTTAGAGTCAAGCACAAAACCACCTAGTAAAACGTCACAGAAAACACATTGAGAAACACAGGTTAAGAATATTTCTTATAATTCAAGACCCTGGCCAGGTAGCTCAGTTGGTTAGAGCATCATCTGATATGCCAAGATTGTGGGTTTGATCCCTGGTCAGTCCACACATAAGAATCAACCAATGAATGCATAACTAAGTGGAATAATAAATTGATCTCTCTCTTAGAAAGGCAATACAAACATTATAAAATCAGTAAATAAAAATTAAAAAAATAATGTTTCTTATACATTCATAAAAATCACTTAAATAGGATAAAGAGCAACTATCAACTCTTTCACTTCATACCTGTGGTTGAGGATGCACCCAGACCTCCACTGTCGTCTCCTTCATGGGGGTGTGAGATCTTACAACCTCCTTCATTGGCTTTGAAAGGGAAAAAAATAGAAATGTTTTTAAGTGGTTGGTTAAGAATAAAAAACATAGTGCATTGCACACATTCATCAAATATAGCTAAATAATGCCTAGGTAAATATATTTTTCTAGGCAACATATTTATTACGAATTTACAATGTGATAGGCATAGCTCTAGGTACTGAGAATAAAAAAATAATAGTTTTCTCATTGGGTTTACATTCCAGTATTATATTTAAGAGTTCAATTAGACATATGAATGGAATTATAAAGGACAATTTAAACTATTTAAGTGGTTGAAATGTAAGCTGGAGGGGCTTTCAATCCAATGCTTTTACAAGTCAATTGCTTTAATAGCTTGTATTTGGGAATTAACCATTGTCTGAAATTTAAATCTATTCTGTGTGTGCCGCCACATCACAAATTTGCTATAATGCAAAAATATTTAATAAATGTTACAAATGCCAATAAATTTATGAGCTGATACACAGATCAAAACCTACCAACTTAGAATAATTATCAAGGTCTTGAAAAGATTATACCTGTATCCATTTAATTTTCCTCAGGACATAGAATATATTTTCTGTCTTTAAAATATTGAATGTATATTATAACATTTTCTACATATGTAATTTTTATATACAGGATAAAGCATTTGGTATCTATCTATCTATCTATCTATCTATCTATCTATCAAGCTAATATGCTAATTGTCCATCTGGCCAGTTGCTATGACACACACTGACCACTAGGGGAGGTAGCCGCTCAGCGCAGGAGCTGCTGTGACGTGCACTGGCCATTTACAAAGAAACGGCACCACTGACCTGGCACTGAAAAAGCAACACTCAGCTTCCCCAAACTGGAACACAGGCCTGCCACCACCCTGGAGAAACAGCCCACCAAATCACAGCCAACGTTGCCAAGGCCCCATGGCACAAAATGTGGCCCACAGGCTAGCCCAGCCCAAAACAGTTGCTGTGGGCACTAGGTAATGACGTCACATAGCAATGCCCTGCTTCCTCTCCCTAGTGACTAGCCAGCTTGGAATTTCTTCAGCCCAGGAACATGACTTGCTTTATAGCCAGGTGCAAACATTTCACACTTTAACCAAATGTCTGTGAAGCATTTTCCCATGCCTCATCTCATTTTATCCTCACAGAAATCCTGAAGTAGGTAGACAGGAGACTCTGTGGAATCCTATTTTGTTTTCATTATCCAGAAACTTGACCCAGCTGAAAAGAAGTAAGAAATGATGGACCTTGAAAATGACTTCAGGTTTTCTCACTGCTCAGAATATAGTCAAACACTGCTGCAGTTAAATATTTTACCCTTTGTTCTCCTGCGTGATCTACAATAATAATCCGCTTCATGTTGATATTCACTGCTGTGTTGCTGACAATTACCTGATAGAGAAGTTGGGGTGCTTCACTGGGCTGGAAAAAGTTTAGTTA